CACAAAGCTCAAAGGGCTGATGTATCAATTATATTGACTATTTGTTGTTTATATCAACTACTTTTTGTTTGTAGTGGCTGCCTTCTAAGTTCCATTGCATCTCTGCTCTTAAATCTGTTCTGTGTTATATGTGATTATATTTCCTTTGGCATTTTTCTTAAACATCAAACAGATTACATTTCCCAATTTTAAGAGTGCTGAAACTATGTCTTTATAGTTATCTTTCAAAATAGTTAACAGTAATATCAACAGGTGTAAAGTTAATATGTTTTATAGTGATCCAATATGAGATGTTTTCAGTTTAGGCATTAGTAGAGGTTTTTTTTTTTTTTAAGAAAAAATTAATCATATGACATTTCTAGTGAATGAAGGCTACTTGCTAGATACTACTTAAAGACATTATGACTTTTATAAATATTCTGGGTAGGATAATTCCAAAGAGGTAACAGATAGGAAAAGAAAGTAGAGGTACAAAAACCTGTTGTTGACTCACATTTAAAAAACTGGAAGCAATATGGATAATCTTAGCCATAGCTAAGAAGTGCATACCATATGAATGCTTCCACAGTGTTGTGGGTCAATGTCAACACACACACCTAAGAAATAATTTCGAAAAGTTAATGTCATGAAATGCCACTGTTTCTTTAAAGAAGGAAATCAGGGAAAACCCTCTGTCTTGGCATAAACTTAAAGTACTGAGCTTGTTTACAAAGAAAGCAGTAACAAAAGATTTTTAATGAAAAGGAAAAGGAAATAGATATTGAAAAGTCTGGTTTAAACCACCAGATATATTTTGGTAGACTGTTTACTCTATTGGCTAGTAAATTATAAGGAAGTATTTTGTTATTATTATGTCTTTGTTCTTTTGGCTTTTTATTTTTATAAAGTTGCAGAGAAAAAGACTTAGTTTCTAATATGCCTTCTTTCTCTATGACTAGCAAAAAGCAAAGAAAAGTTATGTTGCCAATTTTACTTAATGTAATTAAAGGGATAAAACATTTAAGTTTAAGATAGGGATGGAAATCATTAAGGCTATCGTAAGATAAACAAATGTTGAATATATATTAGGCTATTCATTAAACAAACAAAACACTAAAGAAGACACTGATGTCCCATTTGCTCTTTGAAGAAGGGAAAGCCAAGTTAATGAATGAAGAGAAAATATGTGGAGATTAGTGTATTTAATTATGTAATGTGAAAACTCACAAAAACTGTACTAAGCCCTCTTTTTGCACTAATCTATAATCACCTGTTGAGCACTTATTACAGGCACTGTCTAAATGCTTTATATGTGTTATCTCTGTAAATCCTCCAAGCAATACATATGAGGTAGTTACAATAGTACCCCCTTATTCCATGGTTTTGCTTTCCATGGTTTAAGTTACTCACGGTAAACCGTGGTCCGAAAATAGTAAATGGGAAACTCCAGAAATAACAATTAATAAGTTTTGCATATCATGCTTTTCTCAGTAGCATGATGAAATATTGCACCATCCCACTCCATCCTGCCTGAGTCGTGAATCATCCCTTTGTCCAGTGTATCCTCATTGCACCTGCAACCTGCCCCTTAGTCACTTAGTAGTCATCTTGGCAATGAGATTGACTGTCACAATATCACAGTGCCATGTTCAAGGAACCCTTATTTTACTTACTGACCTCAACATGCAAGAGTAGTGATGTTGGCAATTTGGGTATGCCAAAGAGAAGTTAAAGTGCTTCCTTTAAGTGAAGTGGTGAAAGTTCTTAATAAGAAAAGAAAAAAATTGTATGCTGAATTTGCTAAGATCTATTGTAAGCATGAATTTTCTAAATGTGAAATTGTGAAGTTAAAAGAATTTCTTGCTAGTTTTGTTGTTGCACCTCAAACTGCAAAAGTCATGGTCACATTGGTGATAAGTGTTAGTTAAGATGGAGAAGGCATTACATTTGTGGGTGGAAGACATGAACAGAAACATGTTCCAATTGATGACAATGTGTTCCATCAGAGAACACTGAGCCTGTCTGAAGACTTCAGCAAGGGATCCTCTAAAAGGAGTAACACTTAGTCATTTACAGCAAGTAAAAGATGGGTACACATACTCAGGAATAGGTTTGTACTGAAAAATATAAAAATTATGGAAGAGGCTGCATCTGCTGATGATGAAGCTACTGCCACATTTCTGGCAGAGCTGATGAAGTTGATTAAGGAGAAAGGATACCATTCAAAGCAAGTCTTCAATTATGATGAAACCAGGCTCATCTGGAAGGAGATGCCTAATAGAACCCACATTCATAAAAGTGTAAAGGAGGCACAAGGGCATAAAACACAGAAGGACGGATTAACTCTGGTGCTATGTGGCAATGCTGCAGGGCATACGATAAAGCCAGGCATAGTGTACAGAGAGAACCCCTGTGCTCTCACAAACAAAACCAAAAATTATCTGCCTGTGTTTGATATAGGGTTCAGTACTATCTGCAGTTTCAGGCATTGACTGGGGATCTTGGAACGTCTTTCCCTCAGATAAGGGAAGACTACCGCATATTTTACAAGTTCAGAAATAGGCTCATAGGTAATTTTTCTGGATTTGAACCCAATCTACCTAAATTCAAAACCCATTCTTTTAGCCACTACACCATAATTTGAAGGATTGTTTGGGATTAGAATGGGGATTGGATGGCAAAAAACAAAACAAAACAAAACAGTGAAATGTTTGGGAGAAATGTTTTATTTTATAATGGAATCATGTGAGCTCTCTTGTGCTTATGAAAGAAAACACTGTGGTGTGAATTATGAGGACAGGGCAAACCAGGTGCCCACTATGCTTACTATGCTTCACTGAATGCAAATAGCCTGAAACACGCTATGTTATGTGTTCTTGCCATAGCAAAAGAAATCTGCCTGAGCTTGTTTTAATATAAACAGAGACACTAGTGATGAAGCTGTGGCTAACATATCACATTTCATTTACTTCTCACAATTTTAGATCAGCGAGACAGAAGTGAAGTTTTATATACACATTTGTGTATATTTAACAGAATCCTAAATACTAAATATGATTAAGCATCTTAATTCTTTAAGATTCACTTTTACATTAACAAAAAAGGGGTTATATACAATGTATATTACAGAATATTTAAGTTTAGACTCTCAGATAAAAAGGAAAGGTCAGATACTATGTTCTTTCTTTTTACCTCTCTTTTCTGATCCTGACCCTTCTGTCTGTTAAGTGAAAAGAGACACATTATAGTTCTGGGAAATCAAAGTATAAGCCTCCAGTTTTCTCCATGACAATGGAGCTGCTAATTGGTCAATGAAGTGGCTGTTTCAAGCCATTCTTCCACCAGTTAATCCGTGGCTGCTAGCAGCAGAGAAAGGCTCTAATCCAAAACTTTATACACCACTACTAGGCTCAGATTGTTCTATGAAGTTTCTCAGTTGAGCTAGAGTTTGGTAAAGATGCTATCACCTATTTTGAAGAGATTCTAATAATGAGATACCTATTCCAAAGGATCCTCAGATATTTCCTCACAGCATTTCTTCTCTCCCCTTACCCAGGGTGTGTGATTTTTTATTATAAATATATAGATATGTAATCATAACCTTTTTCAACAAGGACTAGATTACACATTTTTTTTCCAGAAAAACATAAGGAACGATATATTAATGTAAGAATGAAATTAAATTTTGGTTACTTTTAATGAATATAATTAAAATAATTTGTTTATTCCAAGTGATTTTTCTCCAGGATTAAAATGATTTCCAGGAAACAGAAAGGCTAATGGCATTTTCTGAACCTTTCTTGGCATAGACAGAGATATAAGACCAGATTGGCTCCAGATATCATTTTTTGGTGGGGCGCTTTCAAATATACACACAAAAACATGATGATGTTCATTTTAAACGACCTGTCCTGGTCTCATTAGTATCTTTCGTCTGGTCAATTTGGTAGAAATTAGTAATGGTTTTGGTCTGGGTCCCAGTATAGGTAGTGTGGGATAGGAGTAAAGCTGTGGCTTCGGCCAGTCACAACTAGGATCAAATCCTAATTGTGTCACTTCCTTAAGTGTGACTTCACACAACTGACAGAACTTCTCTTTAGACTAATGTCCTAGTATGGGGCTAACAAATAACTTACTTGAAAGACTATAGTAAGGGTTTAGAAATAACACATGTAAAAGTGTGTGGCAGATAAGAGATAATCAGTGTGTGACACCTACAATTTTAAACAATTAAGCAGCCAGTAAAAATTAAATCAACTCCTTTCTTTAACATACTTTTCTTTCTCCAGACTATGTATACCAACCGCAATGGCAACTGCGGTAAAACAGATGTCTGCGCAAAACTAAAAGAGATTTACTGCATTGTTTGTTAGCGTGAAACATTTTATGTATAGTTTTTCTTTCTTTTTGAAGTCCACTGAAGGAGTTGTGTAGGTGACTACATATATTAACATGAATTTCTTACTGTTGGCAAAGGAGGCAGAGAAGAGGAAAATTATTAATTTAAGTGAAAATTTGTCAACCTATGCTATCTGAAAGAAAAATAATTTTTTTAAAAGTGGAATTGGGTACAGTGTTTTAGATAATTTTCTTTTTTTTTTTTCTTTTTTTGAGATGGAGTCTCGCTCTGTTGCCCAGGCTGGAGTGCAGTGGCGTGATCCCGGCTCACTGCAAGTTCTGCCTCCTGGGTTCGCTCCATTCTCCTGCCTCAGCCTCCTGAGTAGCCGGGACTACAGGTGCCCGCCACCACGCCCAGCTAAGTTTTTTTTTTTTGTATTTTTTAGTACAGACGGGGTTTCACCATGCTAGCCAGGATGGTCTCGATCTCCTGACCTCGTGATCCGCCTGCCTCGGCCTCCAAAAGTGCTGGGATTACAGGCATGAGCCACCACGCCCGGCCTTAGATCACTTTCATCTGGGTGGGAACATGAATGTATTCATGAAAACGGCACTTTCACTAGCAAGAATTTCAGTAGGGGAGATGAGAAGTATAGCGCAGTAGACAGAAGCAAGAAAATGAGTAAGGCACCAAAGGAGGAAAGCACAGTATATTAATTGGGGATAGAGAGAAATTCATGTTGGCTGAACCCTGTTTTCCCACCTGGGGACTTCGGAATTATTGACAGCGATCCATGAATACTTACATACATCAGGTATTGTTTGTGGACAGAATAAAAGTTAAACACATGCAGGTGAATTCGTTTCCTAGGGCTGCAGTAACAAAGTACTGCAAACTATAGGCCTTAAAACAACAGAAATTTATTCTCTCACAGTTCTGGAAGCCCAGAAGTCAGAAAGCAAGGCATCAGCAGGGTCATGCTGTCTCTGGAGGCTCTAGAGAAGAATCCTGCCTTGCCTTTTCCTCACTTCTGGTGGTTCCCAGCAATCGTCTGCTTTCCTCGGCTTGCAGCTGCTTAACTTCAATCTCTGCCTCTGTCTTTACATAGCCTTCTTCCTTGTCTGTCTTTACATCATCTTCCTTCTGTGTGCATTTTTGTCTGTGTGTCTCCTCTCTTCTTATGAGGACATGGACGTATTTGGTGAAGGGCCCACGTCACTCCATTATCTCGTCTTAAGGTCACATTCACAGGTACTTGAGGTTAGAACTTGGATGTATCTTTTTGGTGGACACAATTCAACCCAAAATGGTGTGTATATGTATTTCAAATATATGTAGATGTGTGATTTTAAGTAAAAATTATTTAAATAGCATTATCAACCTGAAAGTAGCGGTTCATCACTGTAAATTTTCTCAATTAATGGATATTAAAGGAATACATTTGTCAGGTAGGAGTCTAACAATCTATAATTTTTTTTAATGATAAAAAGAGTTGTATACACTGAGAAGGGTTGGGATCTGTGGTATACGGTTCCTGTGGAAGAGAATGAGATAAAACTAGAAAATAAGCTAAAGTATGCAGGGTGTTTGGTACCGAAAGGACTTAATTTCTTAGGCAAAGAGAATTACTGGTGATGGTGATGTTTTCACAGATGCAGTGCATGTATGTAGAAGCTATTGTGATGAATAAAGTAAAATTCTGGACCACTCATCTCTCCATCAAGGTGGAACGTTAGGAAGACTACCCATGTAAGGATGAACTGGAGAAGAGTGAGTGTGGAAACAAGGAGACCAGGTATGAAGTGACTAGAATCTAAATCAGGATGACTGCGGTGAGAATGAAAAAAATGGGATGAATGCTAGACCCACTCCCAGGAAGAATGGGCAGAGGTATGACAATTTAATGGTGAATAAGTCTGTGTGGATGGTGCAATTGTATGCATATTTATGCGATGTTTACGGGTACATGTTTGCATTAGGGTGTTTGTACGATATCTAGTTCATTTAAGATTCCAGAATACGTATTATTTTAGCACTCTTTGACATTTTTAAAATACTTGCTGATTAATTTTCCATGTCTCAACACAATGTTTTTCTAAAGGAAATATCCAGAATCACTCATTTCAATTAGTTTAGTTTTTGGCATACAAATATTTATTGGTTGGTAAGCATCAACATTTTAACTATTCCCAAATTGGGTCAACTTAGGATACAAATATAGAATTTCTATTTTGTGTTTGTGTTCCCTCTTTAACAGGAAAATTAGTGGAGCAAAAAAGATAAAAGAAGTAGTGGTAGTTGGAAGAAACTGACATTTAAGTTTGATGAAGAAACTCTAAATAGATACCTAGAGAGGCTAAATGACTTCAAGTCCCCAAGGTGGGGCAAATTGCATCCACCGATCCTAAAAGAATCTGAAAACTAGATCACTGAACAACTCTCAATGGTCTTTGAGGAGTCATAGAGAACTAGGAGTGCCAGAGGATTGAAGTGCTAAAGGCAGGGGGAGGTTAATTCTCGAAAATCCATAGCAAGTAGCTTAATATTGCCAAAACCAGTAAAAATACTTCACATCAATATACTTTCATTTAATTTTGCTCAGATACAGAAACAGAGAGTATCCAGACTGCAGCTAGACAGTTGTCAAGGTCCTTTATGGTATCCTTTGGAAAAGCCAGAGGAATATGTGTGCTAGTTATTAGAACACTATGGTAGCTAATTTATTATTGAAGGCTTATACTAAACAGGTGCTTATAAACAACTTAAATTAGTTTTTAAACTTTTTGACTACAACTTGCAGTAAGAAATACATATTACGTCATTACCTAGTAGGCCTACATATGTATTTTTATGTATATGTGCGTATAATTAAAACAGATTTTATAAAACGGTACTTACCCTTACAAAATATATTTTGAAATTTTTCATTCTGTGTGTTTCTATTCATTTCATTAAAAAACCCCTGCTGGTTGCAACCCACTAAATCAATTTCATGACTCCCTAATGGGTTGGGACCCACAGTTTGAAGAATGTGAATTGATTCAAGCAGAGTGATACTGGTGACTACTGAGCTGCTTCCATCCTGTTCAATCAAACATTTGAATGGAGGTATAGAAGGAATGTTCCCAAATTTGTACATAGGCTAATAAGACAATAAATTATTTGTGTGATATAATCAGGATTAAGAAATTCCTAGCAGATGAAATTTAAATGGAAAATTACATAGAAAATTTGAATGAAATATTTTTTTTTTGTTTTGAGACAGAGTCTCGCTCTCTTGCCCAGGCTGGAGTGCAGTGGGGTGATCTCTGCTCACTGCAACCTCTGCCTCACGTGTTCAAGTGATCCTCCTGCCTTAGCCTCTTGAGTAGCTGGAATTACAGGTGGCCACCACCATGCCTGGCTGGTTTTTGTATTTTTAGTAGAGACAGGGTTTCCCCATGTTGGCCAGGCTGATCTTGAACGACTGACCTCAAGTGATTCACCTGCCTTGGCCTCCCAAAGTGTTGGGATTACAAGCGTGGACCACCATGCCTGGCCTTCAAATAAAATTTAAATTTAAATTGATATGTACACTTTTGTACTTTATATCTCAAAATCTACATGTAAAGCTACAAATTGTAGATATGCTGCTGCTAAAAAAAATTAACAACAAAAGAAAAAGCTTGTTTTTCAGGTTGATAATTATTTCATGCAGCTATTGTGGTTAATAAAGTAAAACTTTTTATTAATCCTAATTAATCCTTGATGGTCTAATCTGTCCATCAAGATGGAGCTTTATGAAGATTACCCACGTAAGGATGGACTGGAGAAGAGTGAGTGTGGAAAAGAGGAGACAGAGGTATGAAGTGGCTAGGATCTGAATCAGGGTGGCTGCAGTGAGGATGAAAAAAATGGGATGAATGCTAGACCTATTGCCAGGAAGAATGGGCAGATCTATAACTAATTTACTGGTGATAATAATTTCAATATGAGAGGAGAATGGAACCAACATTATTTGAGAACCCACCACGTGCCAAATGTGAATCATTACATTACATGAATCATCAGTGTCATGTTAAGAAAAAAATCCAAAACCAAAGCAAACCAAACAGATCTAATTTGATTTGGGGCAACATTATCAGGAGCTATATTGCTAAAGGTTGAGGGTGGGGTAAGAATTTCCCTCTGTTTTATACAGGTCCAAACCCACACCGAATTTGGAATATTCTGTTCAGATAAAGTTTAGAGAAAAGCAAGAAATCTGTTATTTAAAGAACAGGTGAAGGAAGTGGGAATATTTAGTGTGGAGAACTGCTGTTTCCATCCATGCATTTTTGAACACATTTATTCAATGTAAATTACAAGTCAGGCAAGATAGATGAAAAAAAACAAAACAAAAATAATGACACAAAATAACTGTGGGTCTTTTCCAACAGTCAATGAAGGGAAACACTATTGATTGACACTTGCTACACTACCTTAAGTACCTTAAATGTATTAGCTCCTTTAATCCTATGAAGTAGTACTATCATCCTTATTTTGGGTTGAGTAAACTGAAGCTTTGAAGCTAAAGTCATTTTCCCAACACCATACTGTAAATTTAAGTAAATATAAGTGGTTGGTGGAACTAGAATCCAAATCCAGGTTCCATTGAATCTAGGGCATGACTTCTCTACCTCTCTGCAATATTGCTTCTTGAAACTCAGATTCACAGGTTTCTTATCTTTGAATGGTTGTCCCTGGGAAGTAGGGGTATGCAAAAATGCATACAAAATTAATATTCACCACATAAAATGTATTTTTAATCTGGAGATTTAAAAATATACAGATTAGGTATATTATTATGTAGCTTCTATTATTATGTAGCTTTTAATTCAAAATATTGTTAATATAAATGCAAAGTTATTTGTACACTTTCCAGGAAAAGGTTTTGTAGGCCAAAAGGAAACAGACCTGCTGACTTTTCTAAACTTTACATTTTTGGGATGGTATGGAAGACATATAACTGTGCCATTATGCAGACTTATATGTGGTTATAATTGTAATTGTATGTGGTTATAATTGGTATTACATGTGTTTATAGGTTACACAATACACATGCCTGTATACTAAGGATACAAAGACACATTGACTATATGCTAGCTGCTCAGCTGAAATTATTTTATGGAATTCTCACTTTCCTATGGGACACGTATTATTATCCCTACTGAAGGAATGAGGAGACGAAACTCAACTAGCTTGAGTAGACTGCAAAGGTAGTAAGTTGTGAGTGTGACTCAAAGAATCATGCACTTTCCACAGTATCATAGCGCCTGGGAGGAGCTGATCGTCCACTGGAGAAAACTTTTTAATTGGTAAGCTCTTCTAAACATCTCTGAAATTGAATTAAGTATGCAAAAGAAGTGGAGTTTTCCTACTTAGAAATGGTGATATTACCTTTACCCACTCACTATCTTCACTAAAGAAAAATGAGCAGAAAAATATAACCAAGTGCACACACATACTGCTTAAGAAAAAACACAAGAAAAATTAAAATGGAAATGTTAAAAATGATGTTAAGCTATTCATTCAGAAAGGAAATAGGAAGTTCAGGTTGTCACTGTCTCTCAAAGTACTCATGCAAGAAATCTAAAAATAGCAAAAGGTAGAACCTGCTGCCATATAGATATATGCACAGTGGGTAAAAAAACTTAGTATGACAACCTTTCAATCTAGATTTATGTATTTTAAAAAGATATCATTTTAAATTTGCAAATGAAACAGTACTCTTAACAGCAGATGATACTCACCTGGGACAGACAAAAAAGTAGTAGAAGGATATAAATGTTACAGGATTTTTCAATTATATAGTATATCTCAAGTCATACTATTATGACTTGTATGTTTTGTAAATTTCCCATACAGTTTCAAGCATTCTAGCATTTTATAATTCAATTGCTATTTAATTTAAATGGACATGTTAGTTACCACTGCTTTCAGAAGTGTTTGCTTAACTACTTTAATAATCCAATCACTTTGGTGCAAGTTTAAACAAATAAACAGACATGCAACCAAGAATTCATCCTAAGCACTGGTTTTGAGGAACTTTTTTTATAACCTGTGGTACTTAGAATTTTACCATGTTCCCATATCCTGGGAGTTAACTTGACTGGCAGGTCCAATTAAATATGAATAATAACAAAACTGATAATGGTGGATTTGTATATTGACCTTTTTCATTTGAGATGACAATTAAAACGATCTGAATATACCTCAAGATACCTAATATTTCTGGTGGCTTTCAATAATCTTTACTGAAAAGTGCAGACCTCATGAAATATTAAAGAAAATTATATCCTTCCTTTCAAGGAATAGTCATGCCTATTTAGTTTTAATTCAATACGAGCAGTATGATTACTGGGTACATTTTAATTTTTTAAAATTAAAGGTTTATTTCTTATCTCTTGTGTCTGTGCAGACATAGATACGTACTTTTCTCACAGATCAAGGCTGGCAGTGAGAATCACCCATGTTTTCAGATAATTTCGAAAGTCCTCTGAATTGTACGTGCCTATGAAAAAAGGAAACATCAATAATTGGCATCATACCTGAGGATCGTCAGGGATTTTGAAAGTGTGGGATTTGTCGTTCCCACCAAACTACCCCAGTGTCACACACTGCAGCCTTTTTAGGCTGGGAGGTGAGTTCAAGAGCTGTTTGTTGTTCCGAGCTTGATCCAGAGAGGCTCACTGTTTGACAAGTTCTATTTTAAGTAGTGCCTGAGTGTGCAGGTGTCAGCCTCTTTCATGGCTGTAGAAGCACCATTACGCTCCATCTGTATTCTTCCCCCGACAATGCAGGATCGCGCCCCCCCCCCCCGCCCGCCTCCACCCCGTGCGTTTGTTTCTGCTTTGCCAGCCACTTTTTCTTCGGGAAATTCTAGGGAGGGCAGGCTGACAGGACTGCGAGAAAGGGCGAAGAGAGGCCGAAAGAGGTCGTCTGCCACTCCCCTACCTTACAAGGCACGTGGCACTCGCAGTAGCAGCAGCTGGATGCAACAACGGAGATGAGGAACCTCCTCCCAGCAAGAGGATATTGAGAGAAGGAGGAGGTGGCAGTGAAGGCAAGACACGCACACTGTGTCCTTCCCCACAGGGAAAATCCACCCTCAAGGGAAAAACCACAAGGAAGCCACTACCCGCCCCGCCTCTCCCAGCTTGCCCCAGTGTCCATGCATCTGCTCACCTGTCTATCCTTTCAGGGTGGTTGGGGGAGGGACAAGGGGTGTCAGGGTGGGTGGGTGGGAAGAGAAGGAGGGCAGGGCGAAAGAGGGGGTGCACCGAGGGCTCCGCCCCCCCGGAGGCTGTGCGCAGGCGCAGTGGCCGCTACCGCAGGCAGGGGGCGGCAACATGGCGGAGTGAGCGGCGGCGTCGGGGCTTCACAACAACAGTGGCGCCCGTAGCAGCGGCGGCAGCAGCGTCAATTGCATCGGCCACAGCCTGAGCTTCAGCACCGGCAAGCGTCGTGGCCAGCTGCTCGCGTCCTAGGGCTTCTCGGAGCGGCGGCAGCATCTCCGCGGGGGGCGGGCCGGGCCGGACGGACCGGGAGAGGGAGAGAGCAGAGGCAGCGGCAGCGGCGGCGGCAGCGGCACACCTGCTGGGCGGGCACGGCCGCTTGCCCGGCAGCGGTTAGCGGTACCGCCACCGCCGAGAATAAGCTTGCGGATCCCCCGCCGCCTCCGCCGGGGAGAGCGCCGGAGCGGGCCGGGCTGAGACGCAGGCGGGGAGCGGGCCCGGCGCCGCGGCGCTGGTGGATGCTGGGGCTTCGAGGAGACGGCCGGGGGGCGGGGGCCGAGGCAGGTATAACGGTACCGGCGGCGGCAGCGCCGCTGCTCTTCCCTTCTCCTCAGGAGGGGGGCCAATGGCGAGCGAGAAGCCGGGCCCGGGCCCGGTGCTCGAGCCTCAGCCCGTGGGGCTCATTGCCGTCGGGGCCGCTGGCGGAGGCGGCGGGGGCAGCGGCGGTGGCGGCACCGGGGGCAGCGGGATGGGGGAGCTAAGGGGGGCGTCCGGCTCCGGCTCGGTGATGCTCCCCGCGGGGATGATTAACCCTTCGGTGCCGATCCGCAACATCCGGATGAAATTCGCAGTGTTGATTGGACTCATACAGGTCGGAGAGGTCAGCAACAGGGACATCGTGGAGACGGTGCTCAACCTGGTAAGGAAAAGGCGTGCTCTCCATCTGCTTCCCCAGTCCCCACATCCACCGTCCCTAGCGCCTTTCGCTCCCACCCGCCACCCCCAGGGTCACACGCGCCGCGCGTCCCTGGGAGCACAGAGCGTTCAGCCGGTATTGCCCAGCGGGTGACCTGCCTGGGCGCTGCCGGAACCACGCCACCTCCCTCCTCTCCTCTTTCTGGTCCTCTCCTGCCACCTGAGCGCAATGCCCAACTTAACACCGCTTCTTATCACTTTTTAGGACCACGAGTAAACCAGTCCCCGCGGTGAAGGTTTTGGGTCGACTTTAGAGTTTAGTTAGGAGGTGAGGAGGCCTCCTGTTCTCTGGGGTTCTTTTTCTCACACTCTTTATTGTCCGTGGTGTCGCTCTCGGAGGATGACAGCCTTGCCCCTGGAGCCTAAATTCCCCCGTGCTGCTGAGATGTGAGAAGCACATTAGCTTCCGACTTGAGCAGCTGGGGTGTGATGTTTTCGAGGGAGACAGAAAATGATGCAGTTTTGCATCTGTCTTTAAATATTCCAAGGCCATGATGGAGAGTGTTGTGTCTATCCATCCCCCTCCATCTCTGAAGCAGCCGTCCCTTCTTTGTAATGTTGCCCTGAATATACTGATTTCTTAGTCATTTTTTGTGCACACAAGGTGTGTGAGGACACCAGATCATACAGGTTCATTTCTGTGGTTACCTTCAGTAGCGTGGCATGTGGGTAAAGACTAAAGGAAAGGTTTGAAACGCAGCCCTAGGTTTTGGTTTCTTTCATGATAAGAAAGAGTTACTGCAGAAGTGTGTATGACTTAATGTTTTGCGCTATCTACAGAGAGGCTCAGAAGCGTTTAAGATGTCAGGGAAAGAAATGGAAAGAAATAAGGAGATGAGAATCATAAATCGAGGAAAATTAACAGTAGTTCATATTTAGTGCTTTGTAAATGGAGTTTTTTTTTTCCCCCCTGCAGCCAAGCTTTTTAAACAGTTTTCTCTGCAATATCTAGTCATTGACATACTGAAAGGTTGGGCTTTGGGAGGCAAGACATAAATCGGGAGCAATCAGTTGAGTATTGTATTTGGTGTGGAGTGACAGGAACATAACAGTATGCTTACAGGGGTGCTTTGTACACCCATGCAGTCATTTTTCAGCTAAGCAATTATTTTTACTTTATTGGAAAACTGAGAGAAAGCCGCAGCTACACCACTGGTGTCCTGAGACATGCATTAGATAATGTCTACGGTTTATGAACCTCCTAAATGCACAGAAAAGTTGAAGCTGTTTTTTTCCTTTTGCTAGTGTGTCAGGTCAAAGGAGATTATCTGTCTTCGTTATATTCATTGTTGTTTAAAACAAAACACCTGTTTTTACTTCTGTGTGCCTTTCAAATAAATCATCATGAAAAGTCAGTGTAAGTTTGAGGGAATGTCACTAAGTTGGTATAACCAAGTTCTTTTCAGGGCACTACTGGAAATACGGTTTTCTTGAGTTTTAATTTTAACTAGTTGCAAATAAGAGGTCAGTACTTGCCATTTCTTTTTAAAAGAAGATAAATGAAATCTCCAACTGTTAGTATGTTAGCAGGTAACTGTATTTCTGTAATTTAAAGGAACACATTTTTAGTTCCAGTTTTGATCTAACCAATATCATTTTTATGTTAGATTATATTAGGCTATTTTAGTAAGTATTCCTATGCTTACTTAATACATTTTAACCTGGTAAGAGGCAGTATAGCTTTCACAACCTGGAAACTGATTTGAATATATAACCAGTTTGGACTCTGCAGCAGTAGCAATGCATGCTGAATCAGTTCTTCACAGATGGGGTTTTTTAGATAGACGGTAGACTAAGAAAGGAAGTGAAATGTTTTTCTTGAGATGAAAAAGAAATTTAACTCTTCAGAGCAGTAAAAATCTGGCATGAAGTTTCAGTATGCAGACATTTCAGAGAACTTTACAGTTAAGCTTAGAGTCACTAGAAATAAATTAATACTGAGATAGTGTATCCAAAATCTACTTAAGACTTTGTAACTGCAATGATATTTTAAATTTAAAGAGGTTTAAAATTTCTTTGTATGTATTTAAAGAATGCAATAGGTTTTTCAATAGAAACTTTTGGGGAAAAGAATAAATGACAAAAGGAGCTGTTTATTGCTAAGTTGTTAATTATATTAATGATGGAATATAAATTAGTCATTTGAAGTGCAATATTTCTTGAACTGTAGATTTAGGGCTTTATTGTGCAGTACACTCATGAAAATGTCATATGAAAATTTAGGTGGATTCTCAAAAAATATGTGGAAGTCATGGGCGTTTAAAAAACGAATTATCAAACTTAATTCTATTTATGTAATAACTAAACCAGTAAAATCCATATAGGACACTCAGTGATTCGTTAGAGTTTGGAAACCTTTAATATTAAATCTAAAATGAATTTTTTAAAATTTTCAGTTTTAATTTAACACTTTAAATAAAAATGTAAGGTAAAATAGTGAAATACCTATTACTGTGCCCTGAATGACAGAAAAAAAAGAACTAATGAAACTTAAAAAAAAAAAAAAAAAAAAAGAGGAGTTTCTACCTTAAACAATACCCTTGTCTCAGTCACCTTTGTCAGTACATTTTTCTTTGTTTTCCTGTATATTTTTTCTTCCTATGTGAGGATACTCATAAATACTTGGTTTCTAGGTGCTATTTCTCACATGCCTTGGCCAAAGAATTAAAAGCTGGGCAGAGTGAAGTTTAAGCATGCACTAAAGTGTAGGACTTCTTCAACAGAGCAGTGGCTGTAATTTTTCTGCTTTGTTTCCCAAAGGTCTAGAGACCCATTTTTACTACTAGGTGGTTTGTGGGAGTTTGGTGAAGAATCACCAATGTGATATGCAATAAAATGAGTGATTTTTATTAGAGATGTATGTATTTTGTATAATGATGTTATAGTTGACTTAAAACATTGAAATATGGAATGGATAATGTTAGGAAGATAGGTAAATTAGTTTGTGAATAAAATTACAGTCTGTATTGTCAAGGATTTTGCATTATAGCTCTACTAATGAAAGAAACTGATCGTTAACAAACTTTGGCTTCTGGAGGAATTATTTAAAGTGGCAATATAAGAGAATTTAACTATAGAGAAGAGATTTTGTTGATTGTTTTCAGTTGTAAAGCTGGCATACTCCCTAATCAAACTAATCTATTCTTTTGTAAACACACTTAACATATGTTTATATAAGCTTTATTCATATTTGAAGTAAAAGCTATGTAAATATGTGTTATCGTTGTTTATAACATGGAAGTTTCTTTTATAAACATAAATTTCTAGAAAAATATATTTATAATAGAGGATTAATATTTACTTAGTGAAAGAATTCATAATTTTTTTGGAGTGGCTTTCTTATGTGTTATAGTATAATTCTATGATTATAATTATGGAATTATAGACTTGAAGATTTTTTATGAATAACTGAATTCATGAAATTTTTTTCACGAAATTTTTTCATGGATTTGTAATTTTTTTTCATGAGTTACTGTGAGTTGTATCAGTGTGTCTAGTTGTAGAAAATGATATTTCCTCTGATTATTTTTTTACACTCTAAGTGGCATGCTGTTGGCTGAGCTGGAAACCTGACAGGATGCTTTGAGGGGATATGTGGTTTACTGAGTTTCTTTCATCTTGGCTTATGGATCATGGTATTTTTGTTAAAAGGGTAACTTCAAGGTGTTTTTTGTACTTGAATATGGCAGTAACTCTTCTTCCTTAGAGTTTTTTTTTTTTAATTTTGCAGATTGATAGTCATAATTTTCGTTTTAAAGATATTTAGAATTTTACAAAGAAGGTGTCTTCTGCATTTGAATTATATGTATTTTAAAAATACACAGTTGCATCTTAGAATCATAGAGGTCCTTAATACTAATAAAACCACATTTATATTAAAATAATTTCATGCATTTTAATTTATGTTGATATGTAAGCCTTTTCATATTAATTTGAATTGTATTTTATTCTCATGATTGGGTATGGAAAATAAAATTCAGGATTCACATGTAAATGCTCGGAGTTTCAATATCTTAAGGAGTTTTGAGGTTTTCCATAGAAAATTTAGTCATATAATGACACTAAGGCAGCAAATATTCTATAGTCTATTATCAATTTATATTAATTTTAAATAAATGTTTTGTGTATTGCTAGCTGCTTTTTGGCAAATACTGTGCTGTTAATTAAAAATATCTCAAGGTTCTTTACTCTTTTGCTATGCTTTTCCCAGACAGTGTGGAAGAATTTATTGGGTCTAACAGACTTAGCCCCCATTTTGTGTCACTGGTATAGCTGTATTATAAAATTCAGTCATCTGCTTTTTTTTTTCTATATACGGAACATATTGTTATGCATTAGTTCTAGGTTTTCCATTTCTTGTCTTTAAACAATGTCAGCATATCTCTTTGGCATCACATATCACCCTGTAGCATTGCAGTTATTTATGTGTGTTTCCCTTCCTAGGCTGTGAACTCCAAGAGGGCAGGAACTGATTTTATGTATCTTTATTTTTTGTATTTCGAGGCCTTGGATAAGTTAAGTGCATTTGTAGTGTGCATGACACTATCATAGGCAGTAATGATTATGGTCAGTTTCTGAAGTTATGTTCAACATTACGGTCCAGACCTAGGATCCTGAAATAAACTCATATATAAACTCAACTCATATAAACTTCATGTATTCCTTATTCTTCAAACTAGAAATATGTGTTCAATGTGTATAATATTACCTGGCTGTGTAGGCATTACTGCATATGTAGATGTTATTTTGAACTGGCATCCGTTAATAAGTTAGAATCTGGTAAAAACTTTTCAGTAAACTTTTATTTATAATCAAATATAATCACATAACAAGGTCATGTTGTTAACAAAGAAAATACGTAATGCATTGAAGAGAAATTATAGAAAATACTGTAAGCATTTGTCATATTGCCAAGAATAGTGAATTTGTTCTTGTGTGTCTGGC